TCCTCCTCATCATCATTATCATCGCCATCATCAGCATCATCACCTGCGTCATCATCATCATCATCATCATCATCATCATCATCATCATCATCATCATCATCATCATCATCATCATCATCATCACCATCACCATCATCATCATCATCATCATCATCATCATCATCATCATCATCATCATCATCATCATCATCATCATCATCATCATCATCATCACCATCACCTGCGTCATCATCATCATCGTCATTCTCAGACCCAACTGGCTGCGTTCGCATGACACCAGTGAGCCCTTTCGGTACCCCTGTCACATACTTCGTGGCCCCACCGAACTTCCCACCGCAAGCCCAACAGGCAGCGCCCGCACGCGCCCGCCGCAGCCGTTTCGGCACACCCCTTCGCACGTTTCGTGGCCCCCACAAGGGGGGGCCCACCGAAGGCCCAAAGACAACCCCCGCAGGCGCCCGCGGCACCCATGTCAGCACATCCCTCACACGCCTCGTGGCCCCATAGAAAGCAAGACAGTGGCCGCATGCGCCCGCCGCACCCCCCATGAGGGCACACCCCTCACACGCTTCGTGGCCCCAGGGGGGGCTCCACCGAAAGCCCCTGGCTACTCTCGCATGCGCCCGCCGCACCAATTTCGGCGCACCCCTCACACGTTTCTTGGCCCCCGATCGGGAGTCCGACCGAATGCCCAAAAGGCAGCGCCCGCATGTGGTCGCCGCGCCGCATTGGGGCACATCATTCGCACGTTTCGTGGCCCCCATCTAGAGCTCCGCCGAAGGCCCAAAAAGCAGCGCCCGCACGCGCCCGCCGCAGCCATGTGGGCACACCCCTCACACGCTTGGACGCCCGATAGGGAGCTCCACCGAAGGCCCACAAGGCAGCGCCCGCATGCGCCCGCCGCACCCATGTCGGCACACCCCTCACACGTTTTTTGGCCCCTATGGGCCCCAACCGACGGCCCAATCGACAGCACCTGCATTGCGTCCGCCGCACCCATATCGGCACACCCCTCACACGCTTCGTGGCCCCCTTAGGGAGCTCCACCGACAGCATCAAAAACAGCGCCCGCATGGCAGCGCCGGCACTGCGCCCGCAACACCCGTGTCGGCACACCCCTCACACGGTTCGTGCCCCGCCCCCCCCCCCCCAGGGAGTTCCACCGAACGCCCAGAAGGCAGCGCCAGCATGCATCCGCCGCACCCGTGTCGGCAAATCCCTTACACGTTTCGTGCCCCCCCCCGATGGGGAGGCCCAGCGAAGGCCCAAAAGGCAGCGCCCACATGAGCCCGCCGCACCCATTTCGGAACGCGTTCACGCGTTTCGCGGCCCCCAGAAGCAATTCCACCGCAGGCCCCAAGAGGGAACTCCACCGAAGGCACACGTGGCAGCGCCCGCGTGTCCCCGCCACCCACCCCACGTTGGCACGCCTCTCACACGTTTCGTGCCCCAGTATGGGGTTCCACCGAAGACGATATTCACGACCGCGGCGTTCAGAACTGCATATAGCTGCGTCCTTCGCCAGGCTACTCCAATCACGCACCCGGCCTTTGTGTACGAGTCACAAGCCGACGTTACAGGGAGGGGGAACAGAGGGTGGGAGGGAGGGGAAGGAGAGGCAGGGAGGGACGTGGTGCAGTGGGCACCGGTGAGGTGGGCAGTGCCGCGGTGGGCAGCAGGCAGTGGTGCAGGAAACGCAGTGGGCAGCGGTGCAGTGGCAGCATGGGGCCGTGGCCTGGAGCCCGTAGGGCGCGTGTGCCGCTGGTATCTTTGCACGGCTCCCGCGCGAGGGGTGCGCGGGGGCGTGCCCACTTCAGACGCAGACGAAACGAAACGGAGGAGGAGGAGAAGGAGCAAGTCCAAGATGCACCAGCGATGTTGTAATACACTCTACCGCCCCATGCCCCCTCCTCACACGCGCCTGCAATCCTCCCTTCTCGCTACGGGGAGCGCCCCCTCCTGAAATACCAGGGCCCTCTGGGCATGCCGCCGAGGCGGGGGACCGCCCCGCACCCCTTGGGCGCATCACCGGGACCTCGGAACCAAAAAAAGAGGTGTGATTCGGACAGGCCAGCAGGGCCTCCGGCGACCATCTCCGCTCTCCCCGGCCGCTGCTCGCACTCGGGGCTTCTCGGCCCTCTCCGGAGGAGCTGGGCGGCGGCGGCGGGCGGGCGGCGATGTCGCCGCCCGCCCGCCGCCCCGTCGCCGCCCGCCGCCTCGGGGGCGCCCGTCGCCGCCCGACGGCTGGCCACCGCAGTCGCAGCCGCAGCGCGCTGCGGTCTGGCGGCCCGGCCTTCGGCGCGGCGCACTCGCCGGGGCGCGGCGAGTGCGGCGCTGCCATCCTCCTCCTCTCCTCCTCCTCCTCTCCTCCTCCTCTCCTCCTTCTCCTCCTCCTCCTCCTCCTCCTCCTCCTCCTCCTCCTCCTCCCCCTCCTCCTCCTGCCTCTCGCGGTCTTTGCGTGTGCCGGCGCTGCTCTGCACTACATCTGGCGCTGCTTCGCGCTGCAGCGCGCTGGTGCGCGCACTGCCGCGGTCCGCGCCGCGCCGCATGCCATCGCTTCGCGCTGCTTTGCATGCGCCCTGGGCCTGGCCCGTAACTCCACCAACACGGTTCCTCCTTCCCTTCCCCCTCCTACTCCTCTCCGTCCCCCCCCCTCCTCCTCCTCCTCCTCCTCCTCCTCCTCCTCCTCCTCCTCCTCCTCCTCCTCTTCCGAGGTTCGATGGTGCACCACAACCATGCACAACCACTGCACAACACAGTTTGTTCCAGCCGCAGTTGGGGCCCCACGCTGGCCAATATATCGAAGGACGCCTCCATGGTAGCAGTTGCACATATATCGAAGGACGCCAATATATCGAAGGACGCCAATATATCGAAGTTGCCCCACGCTGGCCAATATATCGAAGGACGCCAATATATCGAAGGACGCCTCCAATATATCGAAGGACGCTGGCCATATATCGAAGGACGCCACTCTGCCCCTGAACATCGGGACCATTTCAAGCGAGTTCCCTGCTTTGAAAAGTTCGGCCTTGCAGCCGCGCAGTCGCTGCATAGTGAAACTTATGGCCCGTGTTCAAACGAAGCCGTCGTCCATGCTTGTAACTGCCGACGTTTCGCGTGTCCCCATCAGCACATCCAGAAGCGATGCCCAGGCGATTTGCTTTGCACGCAATGGAACAACTTTTGGATCCGCCTGATCAGATCCAGGACGAGGAGAAGACTGAGGAGGAGGACGAAGAGGAGGACGGAGAAGGAGGACGAGGACGCGGAGGAGGAGGACGAAGACGCTGGCAGCCGTCATGGGGTCTTCGGGGGGCCCTCTTGGATCCGTGCTTGGGCTCTCTCGCGACCCTCTTGGGCCCCTCTTAGGGGCTCTTTTGGATGTCTTGGGGTCCTCGGGGAGCTCTTTCGGGAGGTATTTGGGCCCTCGTGGTGCCGTCTTTGGGGCCCTCTCAGGAGCCTTGGAGGGCCTCTGGGGGCCATCTGGGAGAGCGGCGGTCAAAAAAGGGTGTCCTCGATTTCCTCCCGCCCTCCCGGGGCCCTAAGCCGCCTCCTGAGCTTCTCCTGGGTCGCCTGGGGCACTCTGGGGCGCATCCCTGGCAGGGGGCAATCCTGGGGTTCTCTTGGGGCTCCTCCCGGGACTCTCCTGGGCCATTTTGAAGCGAAGCGAAGCGTCGAGAGGGCAAGCGTTCCAGAAGCGAGGCGTCGAGAAGGCGAGCGTGAGTGCTTCACTGCAGGTGTGGGGAAGATTTGGGCCTCTTGGGGGGGGTCCTACGGGTGCTCCGGGAGCACTTGGAACTATCTCGGAGCTCGCTTGGGGCCTCTTGGAGGCATGATGGAGGCAAGCTCGAAACATTTGAACTCTGGGCCATCTTGGAGCCATCTTGGAACCTGGGCGCTCTGACCCCTCCAGCTGGGACCCGAGATACCCCAGGGAGGGGAAGGCGAGAGGCTACCCCTCCCCGAAGGGGAAGAGGGTGTGGGAAGAAGAATGAGATTCAGAATTCGTTGCACCACCTGCGCCCAGAGGGCTGGTGGCTGGTGGGATTATTGCAAGCTTTTGATACGAATGTGCACGGCCCTGAGGCGAGAGCCTCATTTTGAAAGCGACCTGTGCTCCATGCAAGAATTAGCTGCAACCCTAATGGCGAGAACCCCTCTTTGAAAACGACCTGTGCTCCATCCTTAAAATTGCTTCAAGCTTGTGACATTCAGATGCGCGGTGCTAAGGCGAGAGCCACATGTTGAAAAACCATTCGTGTTTCATCCTTGTAACAGTTTCGAATATCAAGCCTCAGGATTAGAAGTAGTTCGGAAGTATCACGCGAAACGCCTTTCCCGACCTATCGAAGTGATTGGGGGTGCGACAGGAAGGAGTTATTCAATTGCTTCGCTCATTCCGCCGGCCCATGTTGCATGATCGCTACTGCTTCGGCGTGGGCCCGGGGCCATTGTGGCGCCGCCGAGGACGAGGAAGATGAGGATGGGGAAGGGGAGGGGAGAAGGAGGCGAGGATGAGAAGGAGAGGAGGAGGATGAAGAGGAGGAGGAGGAGGAGGAGGAGGAGGAGGAGGAGGAGGAGGAGGAGGAGGAGGAAGGGGCGGAGGAGGAAGCCTTTCGTATACATATAACGGCGCACCGGGTCTGGGCGCCCGGGGCCGGCGCCGCTACTGCAAATGTGGGCCCCGGGGCCCTCGGGGAGCCCTGGGGCCTCACAGAAGGCCGCCAGAAGGCTCCAAGGAGGCCCCAAGAGGCTCCAGAACAGACCCGGGACGCCCGAAGGTCGCTCCCAGACGCCCAACATGGCCTCCAAGGCGGCTTCAGAAGCCCCCAAGACACCCCAAGCGACCCCCAATAGGGCCCCAAAGAGAGCCCCAAGGGGCCAAAATAGCCCCATTCCCTTCGTAAAACGTATATGTTTAACATATTGCTTGTTTTCGCTGTCGGTCTGTGCTTGACGACCTCAGAAGCTCCCAAGACCGCCCGAATACAGCCCCAGAAAGCTCCAGGACGGCCCACGAAGGGCCCAAGACGGCCCAAGAGAGTCCCCAAGACGGGCCTCCGTAGCCATTTTGGCTCAAGCCATCGAGGCTCAGGTCTCGTGGATTACTTTCTTTCTCGTGGATCACTCACTTTCTTCTCAGCTGTCCACGTCTATCGTATCGTCTTGCGGGCATGTTGACAAACTACATCAATGTAGTAATCGTTTGTTTGTCGACCGTGACGTCTAGCTTGAGGTTGATGCCCAATGGCGAACCCGAGGAATGGGCGACGGCGTCTGCAGAGATATCCGCCATGCGCGAGTCATTGCCCAATGTTTCAGCTCAGCATTCACGGCTCGGGCGAACTAACAAAAGTGTCGCGATATTGCTTGTTGGCATGCAGAAGCATATGCTGGTCGAAAGCAAGCTTAAACATGTAGTAGAGCCGCTGTTGGCTCAAGGCTGGAAGGTTGATGTGTTTGTGGAACTCGTTGCTCTCGGCATCGAGCCTGGGTTTACGTGGATTCCTGTTAAAGGGGATACGGTAGCGGAAAGAGTCTCAGCAGTATCGTCAAGGATGGCCGACGAATTTCTCAGTTTATTCCAGCAGAATTTGGAAATGCGAGGTGCCCGTCTTGTCCATGGCAATCTCTTACAGGCAGACTACGACCTTACAGGCGACCTTGCGTCAGCGCAGGGTCTCGCGGGGCTCGGGCGGATGAGCCAGTACAGTCCGTTCAGCAACAATGATTCCGTTCTGTCGCAAAACCATCAAACATTTGTGCTAAAGGATTCTGTGATAGGCCAGGCTGTGCTGAAGCGTTTCAAAGGATTGCAGAATTTAATGAGTGTCGTTACGGCCACCAGCGATTACGATTTCGTTCTCGTGACACGGGACTCGGACCTTTGGCTACACAAGTTGGACCTCGATTCTTTTGCAGGTCAAGTGCAGCAAGATGCCCCGGTAGTGTACACAAAAGCATGTTTACAGTGGCTTGGAGGCGTCAACGACAAGACCTTTTTGTTTAGCGGTTCGGCTTCCAAGAGAATTTTGTCAACTTTGTATAACGATTTCTTTAACGAAACACACCATGCTTTGGATAATTCCAGAAATGCTGAGCTGTATTGGAAACAACTTATCACTCAAGTCCATCGTGTGCGTTCGCGTCCGCAACACCCTTCCCGCATCCCAACGGCAGACGCTCTCTGGCGTCTCGTTGATGGGAGCAAACATCTCTGCGTCAAGAGAAAGTACTTCTGCAAAGAGTTTAATGCAGAGAATACGGCGCCCATGTGCCCACAAGTTCATGACTAGACCGCAGATCCCTTCGCAGATTCTGGCTCTGGTGCTGCGTTCTGTGCACAAAAAAAGAGAGTCCCCAAGACGGGCCCGAGAGGGCCCCAGAGGAGGAAAGCCACCATCGAATTCCAAGCTTTCGACCCCAAGTGGCTCCAGGAGGCGCCGAGAAGCCCCCAAAAAGCGCCCGGAAGGTTCCCAAAAGCACCCCAAGACGCTCCAAGGGGCACCCCAAGAGAGCTCCAAGAAGCAAAAATCGTCCCATTCCTATGGGAAAACGTATTTTTGTTGTATGTTCGCCTGTTGGGCTGTCATCGCGTCCAAGACGGCCCAAGGGGTTCCCAAGACTGCCTAGGAGGCCCCCAAAAGAGCTCCAAGACGGGCCACGAGAAGCCCAGGACGGCCCAATGGGCCCCCAAGACGGCCCAAGAGAGCCCCAAGACGCGCCCGAGAGGAGTCCCAGAGAAAGAAAGCCACTTTCGAATTCCGAGCTTTCGGCCCCAAGAGATCCCAGGAGGCGCCGATGCGCCCCCAAGAGGCCCCAAGCAGTCCCCCAAAAGCACCCCAAGATGCTCCAAGAGGCACCCCAAGAGAGCCCCAAGAAATCAAAATCCTCCCACTCCTATGGAAAAACGTATATTTTTCGCATGCTCGCTTCTTGGGCTGTCACCGCGTCCAAGACGGCCCAAGAGTCCCCCCAAAACGGCCTAGGAGGCCCCCAAGAAATCTCCAAGACTGCCTACGAGGAACGCAGGACGGCCCAATCGGTCCCCAAGACGGCCCAAGGGAAGCCCAAGAAACGCCCGAGAGGTCCCAGAAGAAGACAGCCGCTTTCGATGTCCGGTCCCAAGAGCCCCCAGGAGGAGCCGAGTTTTCAAGCATTATACAAGCACGTCAGGGGGTCAACGTTCTTTGTGTTTCGAGAGGGCAAGGTTATCGACACGTTTTTCCTGGCTGCATGCCACCCCTGGAGCGCGCCGCCGCGGCTGGCGAATTAGAGGCACCGATCGCATACGTTGCTTTTTGCAGCCAATGTCATCAGATGCTCGGGGAGCAGGACCTGGATTCAACTGTCCAGCCCGATTTGGCAGGTTTTGTAGTGAGGTGTCCATGTTTTGCGACGGTGATCGTGCCTTCCCCTTTCGCAGACTCTGCCACGCCAGCCAATGCGATCAGCATTGCAGACGGGTCTGTCCATCGATGCTAGGTGAGATAATCCATGTATGGCGTTTGTAGGCCAGACGGTTAGCGTCTGTGGCCGCGCCTTCTTGTGGATCTCGCCCGCATTTGACAAGCCACGGGCTTGCCATCCTGCGCTGACAACACCGTGCTCAAAAAACAAAAAACACTGCAAGTGCCCGCCGCCCAGTTCGGTGTCGTGAGGGCGATCCCACGCTTCACATGTGGAGCGTTGCTTCGCCCAGCTTCGGAACTGAATCGGATCTTGAGCTCGAGCTGGTCGAGCGCCCCCGCGCGTTTCGATTGCGGCCAGCTCAGGGCGAGCCACGCGTTCAGGCAGCTCGAGCTTAAGATCCAAGTCAGTTCCGTCAGGATTCGGAGGCCACGGGCGAGTTGATCCACAACGCAATAGAGCACAGCACAGTTATAGCACGGCGCAGTACAGCCCCTAGCACTGCACATCGCCATCGATACCTTCAGCATTGCAAGTGCCCGTCGCCCAGTTCGGCGTCGGCGCAACGTGGCATTGCAGTGCAACGTAGCGCGGCGCGTCGCAGCACGGTGTAGCGGAACTTGTGGCACGGCATCATGATTACCGGTGTCTTCAACATTCTATACCCCTTTCCGGGTTCATGGGTCGATCGTGGTTTCCTTTCTCTCTCGCTTAATTGCGAAGGCCTAGCGGCCGGTGCCGCCGACCTTGAAAGGGGACGACGACGACGCTGACGCTCTGGAGCCGAAAGCTTCTCCCTGCTCCCCCCCGCCCCCGCGGGGGGGTCACAACCCCCAGGACCCCTCTCTCTCTTTCCCTCTCCCTCTCTCGGGGGGGAGGGGGAAGAAGGGCAGTCCCGACACTCAGGAGACAACCAGGCCCGGGCAGGGTCGGCTGGCGGCGGCCCCCTGGTGCCGAACCACGTCAGGGTGCGCGGGACGGCAGTGCCAGAATGTTCGGGGAAGAGAGAGGAGGAAGAATTGGGGCGCAGGGGCGGCCAAGCAGGGCCAGGGGCGCAGGGGCGGTTCTCCCTCTCCCTCTCGCTCTCTTCCTCGGTCTCTATATAACTGCGATGCTATGATCGTTCTGTTTCGTAGGGCCCACCCACTCACCCCCGAGCGCATTTCGGCGTCCGGCCTGCTCGGACGCCCCTGCACAGCGTACCTTCGGCCCTCCGGCTTTCTCGAATGGATCACAAAGGCCTCCAATATTGCCCAAGACAGCTCGTCGACAGCTCAAAAGCATACCAAGACGCTTAACACGGCCTCCAGATTGCCCAAGAGGCGCCCGAAAGGCACCAAAGGAGGTCCACGAGGGCTCCCAAGCGAGCCCAAATGGCAGAATACCGTGAACTTCCCATGGTTCTTGCAGAAATTCGGCGTTGTCCCATTTTCACGCTTCCACGCTCCAAGACGGCCCAAGGAACCCCCAAGACTGCCCCAAGAGGGACCCAACACGACCTAAAAAGGCTTGAAGACGGTTCAAGAAGCCCCCGAGGTCGCCCCAAGGAGCCCAATCGATTCAAGAGGGCGTCACGACGGTGCACAAGAGCGCCATGACGGCCCCAGACGTTTTCAAAACGGTTCACGACAGCCCGAAGAAGGCTCCAATGAGGGCCAGGAGGGGGAGCACGACATCGTATGTCGAACACTCCGCTTCAGGGTCGCCCCATGATCTTCCCAGACGCTCCCACGACGCCCCAAGAGGCCCATGCAGGCCTCCAAAAGAAGGCTGTAGTAGCCGACAGTCACACGTGTCAAACCTTCCGCCTGGGCCTGACTCGAAAGACGTCCCAAAGGCCCCCACGAGGCCCCCAGCCGGCTCCAGAGAAGCACCCCATGGCCGACAATAATTGAGCCCTTTTCAGCTGTTCCTGTGTTTCAGAGCTCTCGGAGTCCAGCTCTCAGAGTTTGATAGCCGTGTCCGTTCCGGCCTCCGCGCACTCACTTGCGACTATGAGAGGCGGAAACGCACGTGCAATCAGGATTGTGTGGTTTTCCACGTCGTGTGTAGTTTGATACGTCGAGGCTCTTCTGTTACACATGTGCCACTCCTGGCGCGCGCATGCACGTACACACATCATGAATCTACACACACATCTATCTATATTTCTATATATATATATCTATATATCTATCTATCTATCTATCTATCTATCTATCTATATATCTATCTATCTATCTATCTATCTATCTATCTATCTATCTATCTATCTATCTATATATCTATATATATATATATATCTATATATATATATGTCTATCTATCTATGTATATATATATATATATATAAATATACATATATATGTATATCTTTATAGATATCTATGTATCGATCGATATATATCTATACATATATATCTATATATATCTATCTATCTATATATATAACTATCTATGTATATATCTATCTATCTATCTATATATCATCTATCTATCTATATATCTATCTATATATCTATATATCTATATATCTATCTATCTATATATCTATCTATCTATCTATCTATCTATCTATCTATCTATCTATCTATCTATCTATCTATCTATCTATCTATCTATCTATCGATCTCTCTATCTATCTATCTATCGGAGTAGGCCAGGGGGGGGCCGGGCCGGTGACGTCATATCCCCCACGGGCGCCCCCTGGAACCTTTGGGGGGTCACAGGCCCCTTGGGACTGCCCCGGGCCAGAGGGCCTTGAAGAGGCAAAAATCGGCCCATTCCTTTAGTAAAACATACATTTTCAGCATACTCGCTGGCTTCGTCTTCACAGTGCCCGAGACGCCCCCGCGGAGCCCCAACACAGCCCAAGAGAGACCCAAGAGGGCCCCAGACGGCCCAAAAGGGTCGGCCTGTGGGGCTCACGGAACCCCACGGGACGGCCCAAGAGGCCCCAAAGCCGGCCCAGGAGGCCCCCAAGACGCCCTCAGGAAGGCCCAAGAGGGCCTCGTTCGAAATCATGTTCCCGGAAGCCTCTCCAGGAACCCGATTTCCGAGGTGCGGGCCTTTGTGCCAATTGTATCATCCGCGTTGTATTGCAAGAGAGCCTCTCCCGGCCCATCAAGCCTCTCCCGGATCATGTTCCCCGAAGCCTCTCCCGGAACATGACTTCCCGGCTCCCAGGGCGCCCAAGAGGCCCATAAGACAGCCTCGCCGAGGCCCAAGAGGGCCCGAGATGGCTTGAAGATGGCCGAAGAGGGCCCCAAGAGGGCCTTCAAGAGGCACAAATCGGCCCATACCCTACGTAAAACGTACATTTTCAGCATGCTCGCTTGCTTCGTCTTCAGAGTGCCCCAGACGCCCCCGCGGAGCCCCAAGACAGCCCAAGAGAGACCCAAGAGGTCCTAAGGCCCCAAAAGATCGTCCCGTGGGGCTCACAGAACCCCCCAAGACGGCCCAAGAGGCCCCGAAGCCGGCCCAGGAGGCCCCCAAGACGGCCTCAGGGAGGCCCAAGAGGGCCTCGTTCGAAATCATGTTCCCTGAAGCCTCTCCAGGAACATGATTTCCGGGTTCCCAAGACGCCCAAGAGGCCCATAAGACAGCCTCGTCGAGGCCCAAGAGGGCCCGAGATGGCTTGAAGATGGCCGAAGAGGGCCCCAAGAGGACCTTCAAGAGGCAAAAATCAGCAAGTTCCCCACGTAAAATTTACATTTTTAGCATACTCGCTTGCTTCGTCTTCACAGTGCCCCAGACGCCCCCGAGGAGCCCCAAGACAGCCCAAGAGAGACCCAAGAGGGCCCAAGAGGGCCCGAAAGGGTCGTCCTGTGGGGCTCACGGAACCTCCCAAGACGGCCCAAGAGGCCCCAAAGCTGGCCCAGGAGGTCCCCAAGACGGCCTCAGGGAGGTCCGTAGCCATTTTGGCTCAAGCCATTTGGGTTCAAGGCACTTCTGGCTCAAGCACCAGAATCTGACCTATACTTACCGCCATGCCGCCATCTGAGCAAGCGGTACCACTCCGGAGGGGAGGGGCGATGGTATGGGCCTCGATGGTATTGGCCGCCGACGTGGCGTTCGCGCAGCACCACGGCGCCAAGTTGGTGAACCGGTCCGAGTACACAGAGCTTGGCATCAACACGGCGGCTCTGAACCGAGGCAAAAGCGTAGACGACGAGCCCAAGCTCGAGCAGCACTCGCAGGGCTACGAGGCCGCCACGGACTTCCGCCTCGCGGACGAGGCCGGGCGGGACGTGCTCCGGGAGGCCGCGGGCCTCGGCGGCCCGACCGGGGGGTACAGGCCGTCGGGCAGCGTGCTGGTGCTCCGCTTCCGGTCGCACAGCAAGACCGCAAGACCGCGGCGCCCTCGGGTCGGAGGGAGGAGAAGCGACACCAGCACCAACAGGGGGCCACCTCCAGCGAGGAGGTCCACGAGGCCTCCCCGAGCTGGAGGCTGGGGACGTCTCGAGCGAGAGGGGGGGGGCCACACCACCAGGGAGACCCCCCTTGCCTCCTCGCATCTCCTCGCCCTGTTGGTGTTGGTGTCGCCTCTCCTTGTCCCTACTCAGGTGGCAGGGTCGTCGTGCACGGCACGGACGGAAAGACGGAGCGTGCTCTCAACCAGGCTGGCGTCTTCAGGAGCCCTGGCCGAGACGCAGTGTTGACCACGGTGGGGCAGAGTTTTACGGGCACCGTGTGGGTTGGATCCAGGACGTTTGACCTTCGGCACCGGCACGGCAGCAGCACTCTGGAGGTGAGGCGTTTCGACGCCAAGCTGTCCGCCGAGACAGGGGTGGGCAGTCTGCGCCCCAACGGCTCATCGAAGGAGCCCGCCGTGGACAGGCGTTTGTCGATCCTGAATCCCAGCGCGATCGACCAGTGGACTGGCTGCTATCCTGGAGAGGAGACCATGCGCACCTTCAAGTTCGGCGCGGTCATCACGTCCAACGTTTGGATAAACGAGAATTTCCAGACTGACCTAGAGGCAGAGGATTGGATCCACGCCATGGTCGAAAATGCGAATATGGCGTACGAGCCCCAGCTCAACATCAATTTGCAGTTGGGGAGCCTCTACATTCAGAAGACTCACGACGGCGCTCCCGGCTGGGACCAAGGCCCCTCGTGTCCGATGGACCTCAATGCCCAGTTGTGGCAGATGGTTTTATGGGAGCCTACAGCTCCGGACACCACCATGGGCGTGTGGCATATTTTCGACGATTGCTATCAGCAGGCGTATAACGGTGGAAGTGGCCTCATCGGCCTTGCGTACATCGGGGTATTGTGCTACGATTGGGGATACAACGTAGGAGCCAATTGGATAAGCCACCTCCCTTACACAAATCCCACTTGGCATATATTCGCACATGAGATGGGACACAACTTCGGAGCCCAACACTCGTTCGAGCAGGGCCAAGGAACTACAGGTGGCATCATGGATTATGGCGATGGGACGGTCAACGGCGTCTATCGGTTCAACGACCTCCGCTTTTCTGACATCTGCACTCAGCTCACCAGCCAAGTCAACACCTGTTCAGGCTTCTCGACTTTCGAGGCCGTCTGCGGCAACGGCGTCACGGAGCCAGGCGAGGGCTGCGAGTGCAGCGACAGGTCGCAGGCTTGCGACGGGTGCTGCAGCTGCCAGCTGGACGCGCGAATTGGTGCTCCCGCGGAGCCGATGCAGTGCTCGCCTGACGCCATCGGCCACGGCGGCTGCTGCAACGAGCGGGGCATGTTCGAAGACGTCGGCACCGAGTGCACGCTGGCAGAAGTACGCGGCTACTGCAACCAGGGCGCGTGTGTCACCAACCACATCTGCGCATACAGCGGCATGTTCGAAGGCTTCTGCGGGCTCGAGGCGGACGGCTGCAAGATCAAGTGCACCCAGGCTGGAGACGGCACGTGCATCAGTCTCCGCGGCTGGGGGCTGAACGGCGAGCCCATCAACAACGTCCCGGATGGAACGCCTTGCACGGAGAGCGGCTACGCCGGCAAGTGCAACGCTGGCGACTGCAAGCTCCCTACAGAGGTGAGCATCTCAGGTGATGCGACGACCGATTCTCCAGCGAAACTCATACCTCGCTCGACAGCCGCCAACTTCCGCGGGTGCGTGGGGTTCGCCGACCGTGGTTTCCTCGGCCACGCAGACGTAGCAGTGTTCCTCACGGGAAAAACTCTCACTCAGTGCAATCATGAGTGCCAGAATTGGTGGCAGTGCCATTCTTTTGTTCACAGGGCGGACACGGGTTTCTGCGAGTTGTGGTCAATTAAGAATTTAGCGGAAGACTTGGCGGTGGTGCCAGGCTACGACACTTACATATGTGATGCCTACGCTGCTGGCTTAGATTTCCTCGACGCCGATTGCGACGAGAACGCTGACGCAGTCGCACCAGGCGTCCCTGCACTGGAGCGCAGCGCAGATAATGGGCACACCCAGGGCACTTGCTACAATACGTGCAAGGCAGACCCTGGTTGCCACATGTTCGTCTTCGTCGAAGGGACCGGCAGTTGCCAGCTATACCCTTCCGAGGTCTCTGAAGCTAATTTGGTGTACAGGGACCCCAGTGAGGGCTACATCACATGCACTCTACCGTGCCACGGCAGTGGCAAGATTTGCCCATGCCGCGAGAGCCCCACCTCCAAGATCCGGGTGCCGTGCCAGTGCGATGCGTCCACCAGCCCTTTCGAGAACGAGTGCGACATCAACCAGTACTGCTACCACGGAACATGCGCCGACTCCCCGCAGCGTCGGCTGTCAAGCTTCTGCGCGCCGGCTCCACCACCCACCCCAGCCTCCGTGACAGCCGCGCCAACACCAGCGCCCACCAGCTCGCCGAGCCCCGCGCCGAGTCCCGCGCCGACCACAGCGCCGACCAGCTCGCCGACCCCCGCGCCGAGTCCCGCGCCGACCACCGCGCCGAGCCCCGCGCCGACCAGCTCGCCGACCCCCGCGCCGACCAGCTCGCCAGGTCCCGTACAGACCAGCTCGCCGACCTTCGCGCCGACCGGCTCGCCGACCATCGCGCCGACCAGCTCGCCAACGCCAGCACCGCCTCCGACTTCAGCACCAACGCCAGCGCCGACGCCAACACCTGTTTACGCCATGGTCTACAGCACAGGAAAGTGCCAGGGGGCTGGGACCATCACCACGGCTGGGAGCCTCGAGGAATGTGCCATTCTTTGCGACGCAACACTGAATTGTCTCTTCTTGAGCTACTCTGTTGATTCTGGTGGGTGTAAGCTGTCTGAAGACTGTGACAGCGTGGGCTTAGACACTAGCTACAGCGTGTACCAGCTTGGCGCGACCCCAGCTCCAACTGCGTCACCAACTCCACTGACGTGGGGCATATACGGCACCGGAAAGTGCAAGGGCACCGGGACGACCAGATTTTTCCGAGATTGACCGTCGACTGATTGTGCCAGCGAGTGATGGAGGGTCGTAGGATGGTTAGTGAGGTTAGGATGAGGATTGGGATCCTCTTGTTTTTTTGGTGTTTTTGGATCTTTCTTATGGTTAGGATTGACCGTCGATGATTGTGCCAGCTTGTGTGCTCAGGTGAATGGTTGCCAGTTCTTCAGCATTCTTCGGACGGAGTGCAAGGGACAGTGTGACTGTGACAGCGTTAATACATTCCTATCGCCCTTCACAGTCTACCAGCTGTATTTGACCCTGGCACCCACGTTCGCGCCCGGGGTCCCGACACCTGCGCCCACCCCTGTGACGTATGGGATCTACGATACAGGAAAGTGCAAGGGCACCGGGACGACGGACAGCTCAGGATTGACCGTCGATGGGTGCGGCAGTTTGTGCGCGCAGTCGATCGGTTGCCAGTTCTTCAGCCATTCTTCGACAGAGTGCAAGCTGAGTGACACATGTGGCAGCATCAACTCGTTCGACACGGACTTCACGATATACCACTTGGCATTGACCCTGGCGCCCACGTTCGCGCCCGGGGTCCCGACACCTGCGCCCACCCCTGTGACGTATGGGATCTACGATACAGGAAAGTGCAAGGGCACCGGGACGACGGACAGCTCAGGATTGACCGTCGATGGGTGCGGCAGTTTGTGCGCGCAGTCGATCGGGTGCCAGTTCTTCAGCCATTCTTCGACAGAGTGCAAGCTGAGTGACCACCTGTGCAGCATTCAACCGTTGCGAGGACGACGGGACCTTCACGATTACCAGGGGCATTGACCATGGCGCCCCGTTCGCGCCCGGGGATCACCGACAACGCTATGCGGCCACCCCTGTGACGTAGGGATCTTACGATACATGGAAAGTGCAGAGGGCACCGGACGACGGACAGCGCGAGGATTGACCGGTCGATCTCTTTACCCGGGTCAGTTGTAGGCGCGCCTCGCTTGTCGGTTGCCAGTTGCTTCAAGCCATGCTTCGAAAGAGTGGCAAGCTGACGATGACACCTGTAGGCGGAGCAGCAATTCAACGTCGTTCGACGAGCGAAGCTTCGGAAGTAGTACCACTTGGCATAGAACCTGCGCCCCACGTTCGCGCCCGGGGTCCCGACACCTGCGCCCACCCCTGTGACGTATGGGATCTACGATACAGGAAAGTGCAAGGGCACCGGGACGACGGACAGCTCAGGATTGACCGTCGATGGGTGCGGCAGTTTGTGCGCGCAGTCGATCGGTTGCCAGTTCTTCAGCCATTCTTCGACAGAGTGCAAGCTGAGTGACACCTGTGGCAGCATCAACTCGTTCGACACGGACTTCACGATATACCACTTGGCATTGACCCTGGCGCCCACGTTCGCGCCCGGGGTCCCGACGCCTGCGCCCACCCCCGTGTCCTTCACGCAGACGCACTCGACTGGGATGTGCAAAGGCACGCCGTTGTCATTTCCCACCGTGGCGGATCTTCAGGCGTGCGGAGCCGCCTGCTCAGCTCAGTCGGGCTGCGCGTACTTCAGCTTCGCGAGCGCCACCGGAGCCTGCAAGCTCTCCTCGTCGTGCAGCAGGAATAAGTGGATGACGGCTTACGCGATCTACCAGCTGGACGTGCGGTGAGCTCGAATGCTAGTTTGACGTCTCAGCAGCAGTCGAGTGAGTTCTTTACGCTTCGCGTATCCCCACCAGCCCATCTCAAAACAGCAGCTCTTGCGAAGCATGCCGACAGTCGTGTTTTTCAGGCGTGTTTCCGCCTGCCCCCGCATATCTCCCTTGTTCCTCCTTCCTCCCGCCTCCTTGTACATCCTCCTTGTGGTGGGAGCGGGAGAAGGACGAGGCGGAGGAGGAGGGAGAGAAAGCGCTCCTCGTGGTTTGAGTCGTTGGGGGTTTCTCGTCCTGGTGTGAGTCGTTCGGGCCCTTCTTCCTGGTGTGAGTCGTTCGGGCTCTTCGTGGTGTGAGTCGTTCGGGCTCTTCGTCCTGGTGTGAGTCGTTCGGGCTTTCGTGGTGTGAGTTGTTCGGGCCCCTCGTCCTGGTGTGAGTCGTTCGGGCCCATCGCTCCTGTGTGAAGTTTCGTTGCGGGCTCCTCGTGGTTGTGAGGTCGTCACGGGGCGCCTGTCTTGTGTGTGAGTCGGTCGGGCTCCTCGTGGTGTGAGTGCGAGGTTCGGGGGGCCTCGTCCTGGGTGAGTCGCAGTTGGCGGGGCACCCCGCCTTTTGGTGTGACGTTCGGGTATTCGTGGGTTTAGTGAGTAGTTCGGGCCTCATCCTGGTGTGAGTCGTTCGAGGGCTCTCGTGGGCGTGAGGCGGTCCGGGCACCTCGTCCCCTTTTGGGGCGTCTGGGGGCCTCTGGGCGTCTTCGACACGGCTCCTCGTTGGGGCTCCTCTTGGGGCCTCTTGGGGACCTTTTGGGGGCAGCTTGGGGGCCTCTTGGAGGCCTCTTGGGGGCCTCCTGGGGACCTCTTGGGGCCATCTTGGGGCCTTTTGGTGCCTCCTGGGCGCTTCTTGGGGCCATCTTGGAGGGAATCGATCACAGAAGAGGGGAGCTTAAATGAGCGCTGCCCCCTCAGAAGGGCAAAATGAGGCCAAAACCTTCGTAACATCAATGATTTTGCCTTGAAAGAAGAGGGGAGCTTTAAGTAGCGCTGCCCCCTTGGAAGGCCAAAATGGGGCCAAAACCGTAGTAAAATCAATGATTTTGGCTTCAAAGAAGAGGAGAGGGTTTTTTCTGCCTCCCCCCGTCGGGGCCAGAATCCTCGTGAGGGGTGTCGTTTTTTAGCCCTCCCAGGAGTCAAACACGACCCCTCTGACCACCCGCGGAACGCCCTCTCCAGGCCCAGGGGGGGGGGTAGGGGGAGGGGTAAACCCCTCCCCGAAGGGGAAGAAGGGGGTTGAGAACATAACGGGCTCTCTAAACCACTCACGCCCAAAGGGCTGGTGGGATTTTCTCACTGTCATTCTCGACCTGGCGCTTCAGTAGCAGCTCGGCCAGCCGTTTTTCCGCCCTCCGCCGGCACAGATTCACCAGTTTCCTCGAACAGTCGGTGCACTACGGGGTTCTTTCTGGGTTCCCTCGCTTGCGCCACATGGACGGCACCACATACGCTGCGCCACGTAGCTCACACATCCAGGCGTCAATAGCTCCGTGTTTGGGGGGCACGCTGGCAACCCCTTGCTTTTTGATAGTATCCCGTGTGGACCTACGCATATATGAAACGCCGGCAAACAGCGGCGCGCTCAGAATTCATTGCTTGTAGGCTCAACGCTGGATGCAAATGGTCGACGTGACGTCGACGGGTCTCCGGGTTTTGGACATGTGGTTTTCCCGTCGCCTCCATCTGCTAGACAATCTTTGAGGAGGCGCTGTTTTTTGTTCACATGGCGGGCTCGTCGGCAGCCGTGGCCACGCCGTTGCCCTCCCTCTGTCTGTCCGTGCTTCCTTCCTTCCAGGCACGGCAAAAAAAGACAACAGTAAGACGCACAAGGTGGGCGCATGACGACGCCTCGTTGCGCGATTGGAGGGCGCGTCCATCTTAGCCTCCGGTGCGCAGATAGTGTGCCTCTCGAGGATTCGTTGATCCAGAGCGGAGAGCACCTAGCATCCGTCAGAGCTGCTCGCCTATTTAACTTTTCCTTTTGCTGGAGGGATCTCGTGCGGGGAGCCTTGGCAACGTCCAAGCAGCTCTCAGCACGCCCGTGAGAGCGATAAAGACGGCCTCAGGGAGGCCCAAGAGAGCCTCGTTCGAAATCATCATCCCTGAAGCCTCTCCGGGAACATGATTTCCGGGTTCCCAGGACGCCCAAAGACAGCCCCCAGAGGCCCCGGACACGCCGAAGACTATGGCACCGGCTGGGCGCCGAGCGGCGCGAAGGCATGCTGTCAGCTGGAGGCGCTGGGGCTGGCGCGCTCTGGATGCAGATGCCCGCCGAGCCTGCCGAGTTCTTTCTGTCTTACCACTTCCGCGTGGCGTCCCTGCGCAGGCTTGGCGCGTTGGGGGCCCCCAGAGGAGCGACGTGCCGCATCCCGTGCCGAGGTGGAGATGGAGCGGAGGTGTGCGGGCAGCTGCTGGACCCCACGCTCCGGCATCCACAGCTGTGCAAGCATGGCCCTGCACGCATGCGTCCTCACAGGGCTCTCGCGGCAGCAGTTGCCAGGCTGCTGCGCGCGTGCCGGGCGGAGGTGGACATGGAACGCACGGTCCCTGAGCTGAGCCGGAAGAGAAGGAATGGCTCCATTGAGGAGGCCATCGTGGACTTGTATGACGACGCCGCCAAAACGCCCCACGTGCGCCTCCAGAGGCCCCTCCAAAGGGCCCCAGAAGCTGAAAGATATAATTTTCCCATGGTTTTTGAAGCATTCTTGCGCTCTCCCATGCCTCCCCAAGGTCCCGGACCGCGTCAGAGGCCCTCGAGATCGCTCCAAGACGGCCGCAGAGGCTCCCAAGAAAGCCCAGAGACGGCCCAGGAGGCTCCCCAGATAAGTCAAGAGGGCCACGAGAGCGCCCCAAGAGAGCCCCAAGAGCGACCCACAGGGCCCGAAGAGCGCGACATTTCAAGGTCTCTGGCCTGAGAGGCTCTTAGGACGCCCCCAGAGGCCATCAAGAGGCTCCCAAGAAGCCCCGTGAGGCTCCCAAGAGGCCCCCGGGAAGCCATAATAGGCCCCCAAGAGCCCAAGAGGCCCCCAGGGAAGCCCACTGCGGGCCCCCAAGACATTTCGGTAAATCGGATTTCCCAGATAGCGCCGGGAACATGATTCCTTCTGCTTCCGCCCACCTCCCCGACCATGTTTCCAACAGGCTTGCCGACAAGGCCAAAAGGGGCCCCTGGTTAAGCCCCCAGAGGCCCCCCTCTTAAAGAGCCGAACAAATCATGCTCCCGGAAAGCTTCCCGGGAGCATGATTCTCTATCTCGGAGTAGGCCCAGGAGGGGGGCGGGCCGCTGCCTGTTCCTCCCAGCGGTGCCCACCGGGGATTGCGGGGGGGGTCCAGAGCTCCCGAGGCGGCCGAGCCCGCGCCGAAGCAGGCCACGACAGGCTAAGGGGGTCCCGAGAGGGCCCAAGACGGTCCCACGAGGCCCCGAAGACACCCAAGATGCCCTCAAGACAGCCGACGAGGACTCCAACGCGCTCTAGGATGGACTCAAGAGGCTCCCCAAGAGGGCCCTGGAAGGCAAGATTCACTCGTTTTCCGAGTGTTTTGGATTTGGGCGTTCTCGCTTTTTCCGCTTTCCAGCGCTCCCTTCACGGCCTCGGAGACCCTTCAGATCGCTCCAAGAAGGCCCACGATGCCCCGACGAGGGCCCCAAGACGGCCCAGGATGCCCCCCAGACAACCCAAGTGTGCCCCAAGAGCGCGCCAAGAGAAGGCCCAGAGGGGTCCCGAGGCGGCCCGCCCCGAATCAGGCCACGACAGGCTAATGGAGGTCCCGAGAGGGCCCTAGACGGTCCCAAGAGGCTCCGAAGACGCCCAAGCTGCCCTCAAGACGGCCGACGAGGACTCCAACACGCTCTAGGGTGGACTCAAGAGGCTCCCCAAGAGGGCCCAGGGAGACAAGATTCACTAATTTTCCGGTGGTTTTTGAAGGACTTAGGCGTTCTCGCTTTCCCCGCTTCCCAGCGCTCCCTCACGGCCTCACTCGGAGGCCCTTCAGATCGCTCCAAGACGGGCCACGAGGCCCCGAAGATGGCCCCAAGACGGCTCAGGAGGCTCCCCAGACAAACCAACTGTGCCCCAAGGGCTCCCCAAGAGAGGGCCCAGAGGGGACCGCCAACCGATATTTCGAGGTCTCTGGCCCTAGAGGCCGCCTATAGGCCCCTGGAGGCCACCAAGAGGCTCCCACGAAGCCCCGTGAGGCGCCCAAGAGGCCGCCAGGAAGCCCCAAGAGACCCCAAGGGGCTCCCAGGGAACGCCCAAGAGGCCCCCCAATACACTCCAAGAAATCATGTCCCCAGAAAACCTTCCGGGGACATGGTTCATCATGGGCCCGAGAGTTCCCGGAGGCCCCCAAGGGGGCCCCAGGGAACGCCCAAGAGACCCCCCAACACACCCCAACAAACCATGTCCCCAGAAAGCCTTCCGGGGACATGGTTCATCATGGGCCCGCGAGTCTCCGGAGGCTTCGAAGTACCATCATGCTACAGGAGAGCTGTCTGGGAAGTTGATTGGGAAAATGACTGATCGCCTTCTCGCGGCCCTCCGCAGATCGTTTCGCACAAAGTTGCCCCGAGTGCCATCTTGAAGCGACGACGACGACGAAACGACGAAGACGACGACGACGACATTACGACGACGACGACGACGACGACGACGACGACGACGACGACGACGACGACGACGACGACGACGACGACGACGACGACGACGACGACGACGACGACGACGACGACGACGACGACGACGACGACGGCGCGCCCCAAGAGACGGCGACGATATTTCGACGACGACGACGACGGCACGCCCAACAGGCTCCCC